AGGTCTAACTCCAATCTTGGAAACAAGTTGTTGAAAATGCGGCCTCGGTAGAGCTTTCGTCAGTGGATCTGCGAGTTGATCACGAGTGGAGACATGAGCAACCCGTAGTGTTCCGGCACGGACATTATCGCGGATGAAGTGGAAGTCGAGGGCCAGATGCTTCATTCGAGAATAAAACACTGGATTCGCGGACAAGTGTGTTGCGCCAATGTTGTCACAGTAAATGACAGGTGCGGTAGGAATGACGATGCCGAGTTCTGTGAGAAGAGATGTAATCCATTGTATTTCTGAAGCAGCATTTGCCACTGCCCTATACTCTGCCTTAGTTGAAGAACGAGCTACGCCACTCTGTTTCTTTGAGGACCAGGAAATCGGACTGCTGCCAAGATAGATTACATATGCATTTGTTGATACGAAGTCATCTGTATCACCTGCCCAATCAGCATCGGAGAATCCATGAAGAGTGAGGTGTGTTGGAGCGAAAGAAGAGACCATAAGTTTGAGTACCCGCCAAATATCTGAGAATGCATTTAACAGCGCTCCAATGGTCATCCGTTGGTTTGTGCATAAACTGTGATAGTTTATTGACAGCAAACGCAATATCAGGTCGAGTAAACGCCAGATACTGAAGACTCCCAAGAACCGTTCGATATTCACGAGGGTCATCAAGTGTATTGCCAGAGTTGATGGATAACTTTGGTGTCGGGGACATCGGAGAAGATACTGGTTTGGCAGCCACCATCTTTGTTTTGGTGAGCAAGTCAACGATATACTTCTGTTGTGTCAGGTGTAAACTAGCTTTTGTTAGTCTAGCTTCGATCTCCAGAAAATAACTCACTTCCCCAAGGTCCTTTAGTGAGAATCGTGCAGAGAAGGATGATATGACGTTGGTCACCAGCGCAGTGCTACTTCCTGTTATAAGCATATCGTCCACATAGACCAGAATATAGATAATACTTTGTTCTTGTTGTTTGATGAACAATGGAGTATCTGCAACAGAATTGACAAACCCCAAATGTAAGAGATGACCTCTAAGTTCTTGGTACCAGGCTCTTGGTGCCTGTTTCAGTCTGTACAACGCCTTTTTCAGTCTGCAAACATGGTGTGGGCGATCATGATCCACACAGCCTGGAGGTTGGGCAACATAGACTTCATCTGTGAGGCGCCCCTGAAGAAATGCGTTGTTGACATCAATCTGTCAAATGCTCCAGTTCTTGCTAACCGCAACATGGAGAACTGCTCGGACTATCGTAGCCTTGATCACTGGACTGAATGTGTCATTGAAATCACGACCAGCTTGTTGATTAAAGCCACGGGCTACAAGGCGTGCCTTATACCTGTCAAGCGAACCATCGGGGTTATATTTTAAAGTGAATATCCACTTACAACCAATAATATTTTTGTCCGGTGAAGGAGGAACCAATTCATAAGTTCCATTGCGAATCTGAGCATTGATTTCCTCACACATTGCATTTCGCCAACGTGGATCTCGCAACGCCTCGGCAACAGATGTGGGAATTTTTGGTTTGGTGGAGGTAGCAACGCGGGCATATTTGGGATTCGGTTTGACGATTTGGTTCTGGGCATGAGTTCGCATAGGTCGATAGTTTGAAGGAGGTGGTTGGGAAATTGGCGATGGAGATGGTGCCGGTGTTGAACTCCGTGCGAGAGATGAGGTTGGAGATGTTTCGGGAGTTCCGGTGTTTAGGGTCGATGTAGTTGTGGTTGGGCTCGTAGATGGGTTTGGATTTGTGGAGGTGGAATTTGGGCTTGGAGGGGGTATTGTAATTGGAGGGACATTTGGGCCTGGTATTGCTGTTGGGCCTGTATTTTGGTTAGGAAGGTCCACATCTGTTGCCAATGGTGTTGGCGTGATCTCAGATCGTGGCTGTAGTTGCAGAGGCAACGGCTGGTGAAGAGCTCTAGACAGAGGCCGATGAGGATGTACGAGTGAACGAGTGGGTATCTAGGTTACCAGAGGAAGATCGGCGACTGTCTGAGTGACCGGCAACGGTGTGTCCTGTGCGGGTGAGGGATTTGCAGATGTCACAGCAAAGGGAAAGTTTGATTCCACAAATTGCACATGCTGCGATGTGTAAATGCGCCCACTAGCAACATACATAAGTATGTACTCTGATTGAGCGAGTAGCTGAGGAAGACACAAGGGATGGAGCGATTGTCAAGCTTGTTCATCGCATATGGTCGTAACCACGGGAAGCATAGGCACCCAAAAACTCAAAGTTTCAGGTAATTAGGTTTCTCTCCAAACAGCTTGTGATACGGTGATTCATTTCGTAGTACCTTTGTGACCATTCGATTTATCAGATACACGGCTGTAGTGAAGGCGTAGCTCCAATACGCCTTCGGCATTGACGACTTGCTGAGTAGTGTGAGCCCTGTCTCAACTATAAGTCGGTGTTTATGCTCAGAGATCCCGTTATGCTCAGGCGTATGAGGCGGAGTCGTCAGATGTGTAATGCCGTGAGATGCCAGGAATGATCTGAGGGCTATAAATTCGCCGCCATTGTCGGAGAACAGAATGCCAATTCTCTGCTTGATACGGTTTTCCACCAGCGCCACGAATGGAATGAAGACCACTTTCACGTCTGACTTCCTCTTCAACGGATAAAACCATGTGTACCTCGTATGATGATCAACCAATATAAGGTAATACTTGTACTCATCAATAGATAGAACCGAAGATGTCCATACATCTGTATATATATATTGAAGAAGGTGAGATGAGATAATCGTGTTTAGATAAAAAGGTAGCTTGTGGCTTTTATTGATAAGGCAATGGGTACACGAAAGATTGTCTTGCGATGAATTCGAAAGCGGTAGAGAGAATTGTGAAACAAGCGTTTGTAAAATAGGGTGAGCCGGATGGCCTAGTCTTGAGTGCCACGAGGAGAGGTCGGTTTTTGATGATGGTGTAGCAGTGAAGGTCATAGGTTTAGACAGGTTGACTGGCCACTCGTACATCTCATCTTTAGTCTTGCCTTGCAACAATTGGGCTCCCGTTTTGAGATCCCTCACCTGAAAGTGTGCCGGAAAGAATTCCACAGAAATTTTATTAGCATTACACATTCTGTAAACTGATATCAAATTTTTCTTAATATCAGGAACATAAAGAACTTCTTGCAAAGCAAGTGGACGTGTAAAAGTAGGGAGGGGAGTGGAACCCGTTTGTGCAATTCGAAGACTTGTGCCATCTGCAATCGTGACATCCTCTCCACCGAGATATGGCTGATGAAGCGCCAAATTGTTAAGATCGGAGCTGATATGGTGGGTTGCTCCACTATCCAGCAGACAGCTGGATGCATCGTAAGGAGAAGCCGTTACCATATTTGCTCGTGGTTGCCATGGGGCGTAGCTGCGATTCTGATTAGGAAAGGCATTTGACGAGTTGTGGAGTTGTGAACAGGTCCGGGCACTGTGACCATGAATTCCACATATCTGACACTTTCCTTGATATCCACGCAAGGTATGCTGGTTATTGCGAGGTGTGTATTGTTGAGACTGGTGTCCCCTGTAGCTTGGTCTTTGTTGATTTCGATTACCACCAGTGTTGTTGTTGTGACGATAGTTAACCGCATTTCCTGTAACAGGGATGGTCCGAGTGGATGTCTCTACTGTTAGCAGAAGTTTAGCTTCATGATTAAGAAGCTTTTCGTGTACCTCGGTGAGGTGTGGAGATGTGTCACGTCCTTCTAGCTGATCGACAACCGTTTTGTAGTCTTCAGAGAGCCCTTCGAGAACTGCTTCGATTTGGTCCTCATGTTCAATCGGCTTCCCGAGGAGAGCAAGCTGATCAAACCGAGTTGTCAAGCCTTGAAGGTATTCATCAATAGATTTCGTACCTTTCGTCCATGTCTTGATTTGTTGTTTGACTTGTTTTATGTGACCCCTACTTGGTTTCGCATAAGTAGACGAGAGTGTAGTCCAGATCTCAGCCGATGTTGTTGCCGTTGAGAGAAGAGATTGGACTGTGGGAGTCATGGCGCCAAGGAGGTCGCTGTAGATCAGGCTATCCTGTCATTCGATGTTGGAGGTGACAATACCATTTGTGGTGATCGTGGGCGATGGTATAGCAACAGAACCATCAATGTATCCGGCAAGATCGTATCCATCAAGTAGAGCATGAACCTGGCAGCTCCACATGATGAAGTTGGAAGCAGTGAGCTTCATGACGTTTGTCATGTTGACATTGAGGAGGTTGGTGGTGTTGGAGACAGCAATGGTCTCGGATGTCGTCGGGATTGACATGGTGGATATGAAAAAGGAGGCAGTTAAAAAATTTGTGTTTTAGGGTATTTAGGTATCGGAGGCTCTGATACCATATAAAATAATATGTTGAATGATTCATTAGATGGAGGGTTTACAGTATATGTAGTGTCGATACAAGAGTGATAAAGAAACTAATAACTACAGTATATACAGTTTCTATACTTATCACCTACATAAGGGACTGTAATTATTATAATGTTCTAGTGTCTTTTGTTAGAAAACCAATCGAAACTCGAAACCATCTGTTTTTTTTAATGTAGCTGGTTGACAAAGATTTGGAATGAGCTCACTTGCAAGATGCTTGGCTTGAGATACATGGTGCAATGGGAGAGTATTCTCGACATTTTGGTTGATGAATCATAAGTTACGATTCCTCTATTCCATATTTGATATTTGTTTCGGAACACAATTCCCTCAATATGGCGGGAGAGAATAGGCAGGAGACATGGGGAACCTTCTACTTACCAAAACAGATGGCCCAGCAAATTGACAAACAAGTACAATTCGGAGTTTAGGAGATACTCGCTATGAGGAAGGATTCAAGATCTGATTCTCGAATCGTTGATTTTGTTGACTAAGATAAATTTGCTAAGTGTTTTCTAATTTTCAAAAATAGTCTCAGTCACTGTAAATCATATAGTTTTTTTATTGAATAAATTTTACATTCATTCAAGAAAAAGATAGTAACAAGTCACAAATTTGTACTTTGCAAATTAAAAGTTAAAAGGGTGGAGTCGAGAAACAGGGGTGCGCTTAAGCGGATAAGCCATTTTCAAACTCATTCCTACAACAGTTTCATCCAATTTGACCTTGTCCCCATTGATTCTCTAGTCAAAGCATTGCAACATTGTTCCGATTGCAGTTTCTACAAAGATATAAGCTAGATTTGATCCAGGACAACCTCTCCTTCCACCTCCAAAAGGAAGGTACTTCATGCCTTTCTCTCTTTTCGCCTTGTTGTCCTGATCTTGAAGAAGCAAGAAACCTCTCGGGCTTAAACTCATCAGGATCTTCCCAAGAATCAGGATCACTCATCACAGCATATACATTAACAACAAGTATTGTCTCCTGAGGTATGTAGAATCCTTGGATCTCACAACTTTCTCGGAACGTCCTAAGCAATGGAGATATCGGGTACATTCGTAGCCCTTCCTTAACTACCGCTTGCAAATAAGGGAGGTTTGGTAGATCTGATTCCTGAATCAGCCTTGTTGTTCCTACAACGAAATCGATTTCTTCTCTCAATTTCCTGAGAATGTTGGGGTTGTTAACGACTTCTGCCATTGTCCATTGTGTTGCTTGAGTTGAGGTGTCGGTGCCTCCAAGGAAAATCTCCTGCAGTTAAATTATATGGTTCCTCAAATGAATCAACCTATAATGTGATGTGAAAGAACATTTAATTACCAGAAGCAAAGACTTGATCTGGTTCCTAGTGATGTCATACTCTGCCTTTTGGTCTCTATAAGCTTCGAACAACAAATCCAACATGTCCTTATCTTGATTCACCTCTAGTTTCTCTTCATGTTCCACAAGAATCCTCTCTAGAAATTCATCAAACTCCCATGACCTCCTTTCTAAACAGTGAGATTCCGAGCTTCTCTAGTGGCCTCCTCAACATGTTTGCGAAGAAAATCTTCTTTGTGAAGGACATAGACTTTGTAACCAATTCCCTGAATTTCTCTGCTTCACTGTTCTCTTCTGAACAAGTCCTCCCCATGCTCATCCTGCAAATGATGTTGTTAGTGAGCTTCATCACTTCCTTACCAATCTCGACGTTCTCCTTCTTATTTGCTTTATCTAGTAGGTTTGCATAGAATCGGTGTAGCTCCTCTGCACGGATGCCTTGTGACTGCTCAATTGCCTGCGGTCGAAGAAGCTTTGTGGCAACGAGCTTCCTCATGAACTTTCAGTAATCCCCATAAGGAGCGATTATGAAGCTGGAAGATCCTAACGCGAGAGACTCATCGATTGCAGCAATACCGCGAGAAGAGATGTTAATGTCATGCGCTGTAAAGATCTCAGCGCCCCCACTGTCAACCTCCAGAAACCTGGCCACAATCCTTAAGCTTGTGCTGCAAGTTATTGTCTACGCTCTTTGGCGAGAGAGAAACGCAAGGATCTTTACTGCATCAACTACCCTGTTACGAGTATTCAAGGTGCTCGTCGACCGAACAATCAGGGATAGGCTTCTCTCCTTCCCTGCAGTGGATAGCAATCCCTCTATTCTATTGCTGCCTTTGTTCCAGTTCTTTCTTTTGTTCTGCTGTAGGTAAGTGTACTAGGTACGTGTTCTTCCCCTACCCTCTGTAACTTCTTCGTCTTGGCTTTTGGTAATAAAATCTTAACATTAAAACCAAAAAAAAAAAGATCTCATAGGCCAAGGCCATAGAACCTGAGGATATGAGAACGACAGGGACATTAAAGATACGGAGAGTGAGGAGAGGTCTATACTTGGAGGAGATTTTCTGAAGAGACTTGTGGATTAAAGTAGAGAGGAGAAGGTGAAGATGACCAATGATCGGAAGAGAAGGAGGGCTTGGAGGCAGCTTGAAGCCTCGTGAGTCCTTTGGTTTATTGAAGAAGAGAGAATAACAGAGGAGTGAGAAGATGCATATGAAGATAAAGATTAAACAGTTTTGCAAGTCAACGCTGTTCATTGCTGCCATTTTTGCTCAAACTGAAGAGGAGTGTGAAACTTAATCGAGAATCCATGAATATAATGCAGACCAACCATGCTTTGTTTATTACCTTAATAAGTGCTTTCTGCTTCGAAAGAAAATATTGTCTTATTTATTACATTAATAATTGGTTTTTGTTTCGAACAACGTGAGTTAGTAGTGGTTCTTTTTTTTTAACACTGATTATAACTTTCATTGAATATAATAAGTCACCAATAGGTGATTACAATGAGAGATCAGCTAAAAAGCTATTATGATTATAAGATTTTTTACAAACTCAATCAACAAAGATTTCCAAAGAATTTGAAAAAATATTTAGAACAGATTTTCAAATCTTCTTGTCCTCACTTGGTAATGAGTAGACTTCGGCAATTATGAAATATGCTTCTTGAATGCAATGACGGAGCTTCTATTGAAGTGGTTTAAAACCGTCTAAAGATGTCGTAACTGATATTGTCGACAGAAAACGACATAGATCCGGTACTGCGGAGACAAAAAAGCAAATACAGATCTTAACCAGATCTGGTTGTAATTTCTAGTGGAGGAGACTAACCTGAGTCGTCCAAACTCAACACCAAGCCAAACACATACGTTGTGGAAGGCGGCAGATAGAACCGACAAAAGCCAAGGAAAACACTGATGAAAAAGGAGGAGAAATCAAAAATCAATCAAAAAAAATTCTTTCAGATCCAAAAAGAAAAAGAAAAACCAACCAAAACAAAGGAGAATAATATAGAGAACTAACAAAATAAATAATCTGACCGATGACAGAGCTAAAGAAGCATCCAGCCATCGGCCAGGAACCCTCAAAAAAAACTTCTCTCTAGGCGGCTAGGGCAAGCTCTCCGAGTTAGTAGTGGTTCATGTTGTTATCTTTCGTTGAGATCTATTCGTTTTTGGTAATCAGTATTATTAGACAAATAAAATCTGCGTTTAGATTTTTCTAAAATTTATTTTATTACAGAAAAATACTTTTTTTAATTAATTCCCTTTGTTTTCTTTATATTTTGAGTTTATTTTTCTCCAAACGAGGTTTTTTAATTTATTTTTAATATTTTTTAAATTATCAAAACAATAATAATTTTTTAAGAAATTTTTTTGTATATAAAAAATTTAAAATATAATATGTACTTTTTTCTATTTTTGTTTATAATGCGATTGTTTTAATAGTTTAGTTAAGAAAACTTTGGCAGATATCTTTCAAATTATAAAAACTATAACAGATTTATAGAAATATTCTTATATATAAAAGAATTTCAAATAAAATATATAGTTTTTGCCTATTTTTTTGTTTATAAACTATAAAAATTTATAATATAAAATATAATAATGACACATATTGAATTATCTGATTTCGACTTGCACACACATTTAATTTTAAAAAGGGGGGTTTTGCTAAGATCTTGGTGTTTTATTTTGTTTTTTCTCTTTATGATTTATGTAGTTCTTTTTCTTTAAAGTTTATGTGTTCAAATATTTAATTTTTTTTATTAAATTCCTAAGAGATGTTGTATACTTATGCATATATAATCTGTGATTCATGTTGATTCACATTGTGTTTTATTGGGAAGCTGCAGAGATCGTGAAAAATCGCTTATCACTTCATATATCTCAATACACTATAGTTATAGTGGATGTTTTTATTATATCATTATACTTGTCGTTTTACTTGAATGACATGAAAGATTAATTTTTCTCTATGGAATTCAATTTTTTTTGTGTTAAGAAATGACTCACGAGTCAAAATAAGTGAATGATTTTTATATATTTATATTATATATTGTTGTCTGAAAGATTTTTTTTAACCTTTTAAAATGTCTAATTGATAGTTTAATAGCCGGGTTTTTAACTTAATATTTTACAATTAATCAGTTAATAAACTTTAACTAATATTAAGTATGTATTATATGGATAACAGAAAAAAATAGTAAACATTTGATGAATTTTAAATAACATTAAGTAATATTTAATTATTGAGATAACAATAAAAAAGAGTATGGTGTATTGGATGTGGTCTTATGCTTTATCTTATTCACTCATGTGTAGTGCTAAATCTACTATGACATTTATAATGCATTGCAATAGTTAAAAACTTTTACTTTTTTCAAAAAAAAAAATATATATATATATATATAATATTAATTTACGGTAAAGTAAATATTGATTTTTCTTTTTTTGAAGTCTTACATTAAGATTTGTTACAACATACGAAATCTGCGACAAAATTTGATAGTGACTTTTGTAGTTGCCAATTGTTTGCAAAACATTTAGTAGACCTCTAGCATAACATGCAGATTTGGAATATAAATATTTTTTACCTCCAATTGTTAGAGTTTCGTCAAAACTTTGTGATTGAAACAGACTTGCAAACGCTAGGCTTAATCCTTTTTGATTTAGGGTTTTGAGAGAGTTTCTTTGACAGACGTGATTGCATCTTCGCAAGGACAGGCTTTGCTGCAAAAGACTTGCAACCATCATCGGCCTTCTTCTCTGTTGCAATCGCAAGATTCTTCATCATCATCATGTGTTGCTTTCCGTTGTTGATTTTCCAAGAGAGTAAATTTGGGAAGAGGCAATTGTTGTAGCTGAGGGTTTTTCACACAATTGCAACAAAGAATGAAACTTCTTTTTTTAATATACAGTACAGTATTTGTCTAAATTTTGTTTGTAATTTGAAATAATCTAGTTGGTGAGTCTCTTTGAACTATCAATTTTTTTATCTATGTTATTAACATTGTTCTTTCAATATCTTCCATTGAAAGAGGTCATTAGAGATCATTTTTAGTTTTTCTTGTGTTTTATCAATTACTTCATAAAAATCTGTCATATAACGAATAAGTTTTTGTTGTTCAATTGTATTGTATGGTCAACATGACCGGCTTGAAAACTTGACAAGTCACTTTTTAGTCAGTTTTTGCTGTCAATGACTAATAAATATTTAGTCGTGTACAATACTCCGACATTTAAAGTTGCCTTATAGTAATTTTTAAATTTTTTTTTTGTTAGTTTAGATATTTTGATATTAATTTTTTATTCTATTTGATATATACTCTTTTCAATATACTTCATATATATGCGAAATATATAATATTGGTTAGTTAATCTCTTTTATTGTTGACTAGTGTTTTGTCCACGCTATGCGTGGATTGTATAATTATATTGTAGTTTTATAAAAGTTTGTCAATTAACTTTGTGTTTAATATTGTGATAAATTATAGATTAGTATATTTGCATGTGATTTATAGTCGAGCGAAGTATCAGAAGGATGTATAAATATATGTGAAAAGTCAAAATTTTTTTATAATAATTTGAAAGTAGATTAATGTATCGTTTGACTTAGTTAAACTTTTTTAAGAGTTAATACATATTTTTGCAAATATGAAGGGTAAAGTTTGACTTTTTTGTATAATAATTTGATGTGTAATTTTGTTATATTTTATGTTTATGTAAATAGTATCCACGTGAACTATATATGATATTAGAAAACTATTGTCTAAATTTGGACATCTTATGTTATAATGTTATTTCTTTAGTGAACACCATTAATATTTTTTTATACTTTCAAAATTTTTTTGCTTAAGCTTCCCTTTCGCTTGACGCTTTTAAAAAGAAAAACTCAATCCTTACTCTATTTTTGTGTCATATTGTATCTTAGGGTTTTGTTTTTAATTTTCATATAGTATGCATTTCGCTACTTATAAATTTTTTTAAGATTTAGTGTGTACATAGATGTTTTATAATTAGTTCATATATTCAACGAAGAAAACAATTGGCAATTAATAAGAAACTTCTTTATTATATGAGTTTTTTATTAATTGATATAATATTTATTTGATAGTTTAGCCAGCTCAATCATTTGCCAATATTGGTGAAGAGCGTGAAATTTATCGTTATATGTTATTTGAAAAGAATATCTTTTCAGTTTTATGTTCCAACTTGACATGCATATGTTTGATTTAGAGGATGATTTCCCTACTAAGTTCTTTGTGTTTTATTTTGTTTCCTTAGAATTTGTATAGCTCTTCTTTATTTAAGGTTTATGTGTTGAAATATTTAGTTTTTTTGATAAATTGTCTCAATGATGTTGTGTACGTGATTCATGTTGATTCGTATTTATTTTTGTTAGGATGCTGCAATGATAATGTAAAACTGCTTCTTACTTCTCCACCAGGTCTTCTACAAATTTTAGCTTATATCTCTATTCAGTTTATTATTAAGATCTGTTTTATTTGTAAATTTACTATTTGATAATTTTGGTTTTTAAAGATATATGATGGTGTGGACACCATCAATAGCTTAAAGCAGTATAATTCAATTTTTTCGGATGTAGTATGGAACAGAGAAAATAATTCAGTTTTTTTTTTGTTATGACGTAAATCACTCGCCAAAAATTTCAGTCCCAATAAGCTATAAAAATCCAACGGTTCAGCAGCAAGGTCAACATCTTTACTAAGTGGAAATGCCCAAAGCAAAGTCAAACTATAAACTCATTTAGTCCAAAACTTGAAGTGGAAAACAGTTATAACTAACTCTAAAATCGAGAAATATTTATCACCAACTCCAAAAACAGACTGAGAAATTTATTTAGACAAAGAATAATTTAATATTTTAACTCAAAATAACTAAATTCACATAACTAAATGTAATAATTGCCGAATTAAAAGAAATACATAAAGATGTTAAATACAGTTTCATAAATTATAAAACAAAAGAAAGAGTAAGTATAAAAAACACACAAAGTATTTACTCTCTTTCTCAGTCCCAAGGAGTCCATTTCTTGGAATTTCAAACTTTGTTACATATTACAAATACAAAGCTGTAAAATATAAAGCACATATAAATGGATGATTATTCATTTCTCTTTTATCATTATACATCCCCTCCCACCATCATTAACTTCTATAAATATGATCTTTATGTTCATTTATATGCTTACAACTAACTATGAATAAAGCTTTTTCTCACATTCCTTTTTCTCTCACGTCTCTCTTCCAACATATACTATAATATTATAATATTATAAATACATATATAACAGTTCGTTTTATAATACGTT